AAAAAAAAAAAAAAAAAAGAATAAAATTATTTGGCGGTACTGGGGATCGAACTGAGTACCTTGGGCTTGCCAGGCAGGCACGGTACCACTGAGCTACATTCCCTGGCCCAGGAGCAGAATTTTTATTTAAAGTGGATATTCAAGAAATATGGAAATGCACTATCATTTACTAAAGTATTATGGAGAAAGCTCCACGGGGTTCAAATAAAGATGATAGTCCCTTTTCTTTTCATTGCTCATACACTTATGGGGAGAAACACACAGATATCACTCCGTATGATTAGTTTTAAGTCCACTAGCACAGAAATTTGTTCTGGAAGTGTAAGGGAAAAAGATCTGGGATGAGCTCTTTTTTTTTTTTTTAAGATAAGACATTGCTTTGTAGTAATCCCAGTTCAAGCTGGGATAACCTCTTGCAGGTGGAGAGGCCAAGGGCAAGAAACTTCCTGAAAATGGAAAGCTCACGCTTAAACTGTGTGCCCCCGCATCTTTCTCTCATGTTTCTACAGGTCTAGCAGAGTGGGAAAGAACAGAGGATGGCAATTCCAGAGATTAGTTTCATGTCCTAATGCTACCAATTTTCTTGGGCAAGTTAATTAAAGGAGGTTACCAACAGCACTCAGACCTCACACAGTTGCTTTCATAAATGACATTATGCACATCACGACTAAGCATGGTACTCCATACGGTATAATAGTTCAATGTGGTTTATTACTATTTTCTACACGTTCATTTCATTTTTTTTTTTTCAAGACAAGATCTCACTGTGTAGTTCATGCTGGCCTTGAACTCATTATGTAGCCCAGGATGGCCTCAAACTTGCAGAGATCCTCCTGTCTCAGCCTCCCAAGTGCTGGGATTATAGGCATATGCTACTATACCCAGCTTACATGTTCATTTTTTAAATACTTGAATTACTTTCTTTTCCAAATTAAAGAATAAAGAAACACCTAAATTCTTTATTCTCATAAATATATCCAAAATGCAATACATCCATCTATACTATAAAGTATGGGTTACATTAAAGTGTGGTTTCCATTCTATTACTGGCACTCACAAATGCTGCCAACATAGCAAAAGGGCTCTTTTCTCAATCTTGCAATGTAAAAAAAGAACAATAATGACTTACTTCTTTTTTCATCCATAATTTTAAAGCAGTATGCAGTGCTTTCACCCCCTGTACTAGGTAAGTCTGAGGCTGGAAACCATCTTCTCTCAGTTCTACGGGAGTAAAGTTGGGTGGGGAAAGGAGTTAAGAGTGTTCTGAAGAGAAAGGATTAACTCTAGGTTTTAAGTAACCACTAAATAACAAATGTAAACTTTGAAGTTAGTAAAAAAGAAAAAATTCTAATACAAAATAATTCAAAAGACAGGAAAGAAAAGGAAACTACATTAAATGTAACTAACGGTACAAAATGTACCAAACATTAAAATATACAAAAACAGCTTAAAAGCTGGGGATTTAGCTTACTGGTGCTGCCACCTGCCTTGCAAGCTCAAGGACCCAAGTTTGATCCCCAGAACCAAAACAAAAACAAACAAATAAAAACAAAAAGGGATTAAAATAAAAAGACGGTAAAGACACCAACCTTTCAAAAGAAAGTTACTATAGCTATATTAATAGATTGTCATTAATAAAGGGTCATTTCACAGTGACAAAAAATTCAATTCACTAGAAAAACAATCATTTAAAATGTATACTCAATAATATAATGTGAAAACATAGAAAGAGATAACTAAAGAGAACTCCAGGAAAGAATAAGCAAATGTACAATCCTACTGGGAGATTTTAACACATGTAGTTAACAATAAAATAAGTAGACAAAAATCAGTAGACATACATTTAATTTGAACATATAAAACTTGATTTAATGGCTATGAATAGGACATTATACCCAGCACCTGCAAAACACAGTCTTCTTAAACATACACAGAACATTTACAAAAATCATCCTTTTCCCAAGGCCATAAACAAATCTCAATAAAAGAGCTAAATTACCTATATATCTGCAAGACAATTAATCTAGAAATCAATAACAGACCTCAGAGAAAAATGATAACTAGAGAAAGGCTGTATGTTTAGAAACTAAAAACAAAGACATTCATAAGCAGACTACTAAACATCATTTAGTTTTTCTTAAGTGCTGGAAATTAGAAAATATTTTGGTTAAATAATAATGAAAATAATGTATTAAGATATACAGTACACTACACAGAAAAAAATCTATATCCTTAAATGCTTGTTAGGAAAAAATGCTGAAAATTAATGTGTTGAGGACCCACTCAGAACATTTAAAAATAAATAAAACAAGATAAATGGAGAAAAAACTATGAGCAAAATTAACAAAACAGAAAAATGGATTATAAAGTCTCAAACTGATTATTTAAAAAGATAATACAATAAGTCAAAAGAGAAAATAGGCACAAATATACAGTACCAAAAAATGAGAAATGAGACATCATTATAAATCCTACAGATATTAGCTAAGAATAAAAGGAACAGGGCTGGGAATTAACTAAGTGGTTCCAGCACCTGCTTTGTAAGTGCAAGGACCCAAGTTCAATCCCAGTAACCCCCCCCCACGCAAAAAAAATTAGTAAGAGGAACAAGGTGGACGTGGTGGCACATGCCTGTAATCCCAGCACTGGAAAAATTGAGGCAGGAGGATCACAGTGAGTTCAAGGCCAGCCTAAACTAAATAGGAAACGCTGTCTCAAAAAAAGAATAACAGAGAGAGAGAAAGAATAACAAACAATTTGTCAACAATTTTTTGTTTGCCTTCTTCTTTTTTTTTTTGTACCAGGGATCGAACTTGGGACCTTGCACTTACCAGGCAGGTGGTGGCCAACACTGGGCTAAATCCCCAGCTGTTAACAAATTTTTAAAAAAGAAACATTCCTAGAAATTAATTTGTCAAAATACTGAATAAAAATAGGAAATCTGAATAGTCCTATGCTCATAAAGATACTGACTCAGCAGTAAGAAATCTTCCCACAAACTACAAATCCAGCTATTCTGATTAGTAAGTCCTACCCATCACTCCAATCCTACATGAACTCCTCTATAGATTAAAAAAGAACAATCCCAACTTTTTTCTGGAGGTGAGCATAACTTTTATACCAAAATCTAATAAGGACAGAGTTAGAAAATAAAATATGGGGCAATTCCATTCACGTGCCAAAAGAAAAAAATACACACATGTAATACACAAAAACATTTTTCTTCACTTTATATAGAATATATTTACATATCCTAGTATATATTCATATATCTGGAATATGTAATTTATAAATACACACACACACACACACACACACACACACACACACTATAATATTGACAATATTCTAATCTACTAGTATGCAAAAACTATCAAGACCAGGGTTGGGCTAACAGAAAAACCAATATAGGGGCCGGGGATTTAGCTCAGCGGTTCGATGGCCTGCCTTGCAAGTGCGAGGACCCAAGTTCAATCCCCGGCACTAAAAAAAAAGAAAAACCAATATAACCACTAAGTTAAAAGATTTTAATCACAGAACTATGTTAATATATGTATGAAAAGCTTTTGATAAAATTAAATCACCACTGATTTTGCTTGCTTGTTTGTTTCAGACAGGGTCTCGCTACGTAGTTGAGACTGACCTGGAACTCACTATGTAGCCCAGGCTGGTCTCGAACTCACAGCGATCCTCCTGCCTCAGCCTCTCAGTGCTGGGATTACAGGCATAATGCTACCACACCTGGCACCATTGATTATTTTTAAAAAAGAAAAAAAAAAGATTTAATCTTTCAGCTAATTTAGGTAGACAAGGATCTCCTAAATCTGATAAAGGTTATCAACAAAAAGCCCACAACAAAAAATGATAAATGGTGCCTGGGAACAAGACCTAGGTCCTAGCCAGCCGGGTAAAGCAATAAAAATTAAAAGATAAAAGTATTAGAGAAAGAACAAGACTGTCCATATTCACAAACGATGTATGTGATTGTATATTAGAGAGCCAAAATGTCCTCAGATAAATTAAATAATATATAATTACATGTAGTAACAATATATTATCTATAATAGCACTAAAATACATGAATCATCTAAGGATAAATCTATTAAAAGATATATGTGCAAGGTTTTTTTAACCAAACCAAAAAAAGACATTTCAAAAGATCAAAGATCTAAATAGATGTTCATTTTTTAAAACTCCATATTTAATGATGCAAAATTTTATCAAAATTGATCTCTAGATTTAACATCCTCAAACTTAAGTCCCCACGTTCATATTTGTTTGCCTGCCTTTTTTGGGAGGAAGCGGAGCAGTGTCAGTCTATAAGAAAATAATTCAGTAACTTATACGGGAAAGAAAGGCAAGGCACACTTGAAGAATAAAGCAGAGGAACTAGCAGATACCAAGTCTGATTGTAACTAAAAAAGGACAGAATGACCACCGGCCCAGCAGGACAGAAGAATGAGCATGGAAGTGCGTGCCACAGGCCCCACACATCCATCCACACAGGGTACAGGACAGGAACAGCAGCCACCAAGAATAGGAAAATATAGTGCTGGAGCCCATGGGTATTTATAAGAAAACAATTGAAAATATAACTCTTCCTCCCTGCATCCACAAGAAATTCAATTACAAATAACGTAAAAGCCTAAATGTAAAATATGAAACTATAAAAGCTTTTAGAAGACAATATTTGCAAGACTGGGAAAAGAACCTTTTAAACAAAGCATGAAAAGCACTAACCTCTAAGTTGAAAAAATGCTATTTTAAAATTAAGAAATGTTACCCTTCAAAAGACACCACAAAGAGAGTAAACAGTTAAGTCAGTTGATGTAACAGCATCTGCAAAATATATTACTGAAAGTACAGGAGTTTGAATATACAAAGAATTTTTATAAATTAGTTTAAAAAGAAACAACTAAATTGAAATACTGGCAAAAGATCCAAACAGGAAATTAAGTAGAGAAGAAACCCAAAAGGTCAACAGATACGTGAGAAAAAATGCTCCATTATATTAATAATCAGGATAATGTACATTAAAAATACAAAGAAGTAGATTTGCAGAATTAAAGTCTAACACAAGTTTTGAGCAGAGTGTGCAGCACTGTAAATCCTCAAACCTAGCCATGGAAACAGGAACCAGGAACAACATGGCATCAGCTACAGCTACTAAATTCTCTCGGTGACTTAGCAATAGAGCTTGTGCTCGGGCTCACTCTTGCACTAGGTGGCAGTGCTAAGGACTTCTGAGAAGCACCTTCCATAATTGCCCCTATCTGAAAACAAGCCCCAGTGCCCAGCAACTTCTGTAGAACAGGTATGTGAATGAAGGTATATCCACACAACAGAACACTGCAGCAATGGAAAGAAAACTGAAACTACCCACAGAAACACAGACGACTCTCAGAATACTATCAAGTAAAAGACAAGCTTGAATAATCACACAAAGTATACAAATGAAGAAAATTCAACTATTTTATTTTACCATACAGCTGATAAAACTAAAAAGGATATCACAAAAGCTGAGAGAAAGCGGTTATCTCTAGAAGGGAAGAAGGTGGATATGATAAGGAGTTATAACGAGATACTGCAAGGCTTGTGCCCGTTGTATAGGGATTACCCGAGTAAAAGCCTCTTATTAAAAATGGACAGTGACCCATTTCATAGCAGCACAATTCATGATAGCTAAAACCTGGAAGCAGCCAAATTGCCCATCAACAGAAGACTGGATAAGAAAAATGTGTTTTTTTTAATAAAATGGAGTACTACTCAGCCATAAAGAATAAGAAACTTAGAGACATTTGTAGCTAAATGGATGTACACTGAGAAGATACTCTTTTAAGTGAAATAAATAGGACACATATGTGTTAATGCCAAATAGTTTCTCTAGTGTGAGAAACTGAAAGTGTAAATAAGGACTAAAAGGTATAATAATAGATCATTTGAAATCAGAAGACAAGGTACAAAGCAGAAGGGGAAATGGGAGAGGTAGGGGAAAAGAAAGATGGGAATGGAATTAACATGAGAAAAAGAAAAAATGGAAACAAAGACTCTGTAGATAGGGAGGGTACAGGGGTTGAAGGGAGGGCAGGGGAATGGGGAAAAAATAAGAACCAAGATGGATTATGTAAAGGTGCAAATTTCCAATGATGAATGTCACTGCATTGTATAACTTAAATGTACCAATAAAATTAACTAATAAAAAAATGGACAAGTGTGTGCATATGCAGTGTATGTATGACCCGTACAATCGGTATCATGTATTTCACCACTGTAAAAGTAAATGCATACACTCACAGAAATGTCATTTTGGGGTGTTTTAAAAAAATTGATGGGGACCGGGGATTTAGCTCAGTGGTTCAGCTGCCTGCCTCGCAAGTGCAAGGACCTGAGTTTGATCCCTGTTATCAATCAATAAATAAATTAATTAAAATAAAATAAATAAATTGATGGGCCAGGGTTGTAGCTAGGTGGCAACGTGCCTGCCTGGCAAGTGCAATGTCCTGAGTTTGATTCCTCTTACCAAAAAATAAAATAAAATAAATTGATTATCTTTAACTCAAGAAAAGTATTTCAGCTGTAACTCAGAATTCAGGTAAATTGCCGGGTGTGGTGACCTATGCCTGTAATCCCAACACTTGGGAGGCTGAGGCAGGAGGACAGCTGTGAGTTCAAGGCCAGCCTGGGCTACATAGTGAGACCTTGCCTCAAAAAAATAAAATAAAATAAAATAAAATAGATTTAGGTAAGCTGAAACAAAAGCAAACCATTTTAGTTCTGCCCAGTGGATAATTTACTTACATAAATCCAAACTGGTTCACTGTTTTATTATCACTGAGATGAAACACAGCTCAAGTTTCCTAGAATCTACCCTCATTTAGCCCAGCACTCATACAAGCTTTATAACAGTCTGAGAGTTGGCAGATAATAGCTCACAATGCAAAGTAAAAAGGTCAGCCATGAAAGAAGACACTGTAATGTGCAGAAACAAGGGTGCCAGTTCTGTTTCCAGGATGAATGCCCAGGACAATGGTAAGGGCGGTAATGGTCATTTAGCTTTTGCCTTGATGGGAGTGGAGTGAATCAGTCAGCTTCATTCAACTGCCAAATATTTACTGACCTGGCTGATAAAACATTTTAAAGCAACCTACAAATTCATTTTTACAGAAATCCTTCTTTGTTTTTAAAGTCTTTAATGTGTATGACCATGGTTACAAACAAAACCCATATTTCTGAACTTTTAATGGTCTACGACAAATAGTAAATAACTTTTTTTCTTTTTCGTTGTTGTTTTGTTTTTTTTACAGGATCTCACTGTATAGTTTAGGGTGGTCTTGAATTCACTATGTAGTCCAGGCTGGCTTCAAGCCACAGAGATCCTCCTGCCTCAGCCTCCCAAGTACTGAGACTACAGGCATACGGTGACTGTGCCCAGCTTATAAACAGTTATTTCTAAGACTATGAAAAATATGCTGTGGCTTAAAAACTAAAGGTATTTTGTCTTTCAAATCAATTCATTCTAAAAAGTTAGTTGATGTGCTCCTCTTCAGCATTAGGGTGCATGTGTTAGTGCTGAATTTCTCCTCACTAACCATAAAATAGGAACTTGGGATCCTATGACAGACTAACAGAAACAACGGGAAAAAGAACTCTGAACCAAGTGTAGAACTGCCAATCTCTTAATTGAAGAGTTCAGTAGTTGGGTTCTATTTCTAGAAAACACAGACACTTGTTAATCCTTTTAACAAGTATATACAGTCTGTGTTCCTGCTTTCTCCTAGGCTTCTACTTGGAGAAGAGATGATCAATCTCAGTGCCTAGTTTTCACTGCAACCTTGGCAGCGGGGAACAGCAACTCTCTGGCACACTATGCCCATTCCTGCAGCCAAGCACAACACCTGAAAACACGATTAAGGCCGGGATCAGGATAAGGTTCAGGGCTGGAGCACAGACCAGGCCTGCACAGCAGACCTATCCCTCCTCATCCAGGTCCCACCTCCTGCACACACCTCCTCCACACCACACATACTGCAAGGTGTCATTGTTCTTCTGCTCACAGGGGATTGCCTGCTTTTTTCAGGGGGTGGGGGGCATGCATGATGAGTTTTACCATTTCGGTTCCATACATGCTATCCTTCAAAGTTGATTTTTGGCTGTTTCTTTTCACTTTACCTGTTCTTCTGTAAGTTTTAAATGGAAAAAAGTGTTTACATAAAACTTTACTGTTTAATTTGTTTGTATCTGTTCTCCCAGGAGTTCACTATAATATTAGCACCATTTGCAAACTGACAATCCAAAACCTGAAAAACTATTCTCCCCAGCACCTGGAAATTGAATTTCATGTCTGTTTCTTTCTTTTTTTTTTTTTTTTTTTTTTTTTTTTTTTTTGTTTTTTGAGACAGGGTCTCACTTTGTAGTTGAGACTGACCTGGAACTCACTATGTAGCCCACGCTGGTCTCGAACTCACAGAGATACCCCTGCCTCAGCCTCCCAAGTGCTGGGATTACAGGCATGTGCCACCATGCTCGGCTTCCTGTCTATTTCTATTTCCTATTTTTCATGTACTTGTGGCAGTGAAAATATAATCTCCACTGCTCAAAGATTAAGTCAGAATATAAAACACCAAAACTTGAAATTCCCCCTTTGAAAAAACAGCTTTACATCTAAACAAAAGAAGTTTCAAAAAACATACAGATTCTGAGCTGACTGACATTCAGTGGTGAGTATACTAGTAGGTGAATCATACCAGCCAGCTAACAGTCACAATGGTAAGGACAGGCATTACCACATTCTCTAAGGACACAAGAATTATAGTCCCCTGGCCTTTTAAAGCAAATGTTGAAGAACACATACAAGGTAAGAGTCCCTCGACAGAAGTCACTTTCTGGAGAGTGAGGTATCTATGGATGTTTAAGAATATCTGCAGGTCACTGGTACTCTAGATGAGTATCACCTATGTGCTTCTGGTGCAGGTCTTCACATACTGATTTTTAAGAATGCAGGTTAGTAGTCTATAGCCTAGAAACTAATCACTAAAAAGGTTCCTGGCAAGTGGAAGTCACATACACTGTATTCAAAAAAATATAACAGGGGTGACATCCATACCCTTCTAGCAAAGTCTGCCAGGCAGCTTTAAGGAAATTTACAAACATTACATTGCAGAACGTACAAACATTAATTACCTTTCAGGGTTTCCAGCAAATTTTTGGCTACAAACCAACATATGGCTTCAAAAAAAGGGAATTTAAAAAGATCTGGTGTTTTTAGCCTCTTCTCCATCTCGTAACACCTAAATGAAAACAATTGGAAGAATTATTTTTACTATCAATATTAATATTTCAAAGTTAAATGAAGACAATCAATTTAAAAATAAACTAAGCAGGACATATATGTAAGATAGACCAATCAAGTTTTGTATATACCTAAAAACACCACAGGTGGACAATGCCAAATTGTGACCATATCCAGGTTCTACCCTGAATCAATTTGACAGTGCACTTAATAATTACATTGATCTTCATGAAAAATCACACCTTGGAATTTGTATCCTAATTTTAGCTAAGGGTTTTTATGAAGATTCTACTATAATAAATAAAACTTTTTTTAAAAAATCAGTGGACAACACTACAACAGCCAGTCAAGTTTTCTTTAGGGGCCGGGGATTTAGCTCAGTGGTGCCACTGCCTGCCTCACAAGCACAAGGACCCGGTACCAAAAAAAAAAAAAAAAAAAGGATTAACTTAAAGTTTTCTTTAAAAAGTATTTAAGGTCAAGACCACATTTGACACCAGTCAAGATGTGACAATAGGAACCACGGTTTGCCAGTAACTGTTAATCTTCCTTGCTGTAGTCATGTAGCAGGAGGCATCTCAACCCCAGGGACAGCTCAGGTATAAGACAGGCAACATCCACACTTGCTGGGTGTGGGACCCACCTTGACTTAAAGCCTTAAGAGCTATTACCTCCTTTAGTAACTCATGGGTGCAGAGCACCCAGAGCTTCCCTCGGGCATGCAGTTACAAGAGTCACCACAACTGGAAGCCCAAAGATGTGGCTTCCCATTAGGTGTTTATAGTTCTCCCAGTCCTCATGCAGTTATTAGCCAGGAATCATGCTTACCGTGTACAAGGCTGACTAATAATGGTCTCCCTCATTAGACTACCTGGGGAACAGTTACATAAAGATCAAACTGTCCTACAGAAGGGGAAAGGCTAGTTAATCCTTCATTTGAGCAGAACTAAAGCAAGTGTTCTGACAGCAATCCTGACCTAAGGACCGCTGTTCCAGGACCAGAAGTCACAATGAATCTGACTGACATTTTCCTGAATGCAAAAGCAGCCAAAAGAGAACTTCATGAAGTTTTGAAATTTGGAGAGATAAAATAACAATGAATGAGTCATTACTTTTGCTTTAGGTTTGAAATGTATCAAAGTAGCAACAACAAAATTTTTCATTAATACTTTTATTATATTTCCTATTCCTGACCATTTCTCTAGGCCTATCTCCATGGAATCTCAAATAATATATGCTGTGATTTTTAAAACAAGCAAACAAAAATGTTCTACTTTTTTAAAAAGACAGACGGTCCTTTTAACATTGGTGACACAAACCTGAGCTGCATGCCAATATTAAGGTTGTGCAGAAAGTTCCCCCCAAAAGCCATACAGTCCTGAGAAGTGAGCACGGCATGAATCCATCCTGAAATGGTTACAATAAATAAATCAGTGACTTTTCAGTATTTAAACCAATCAGATGTGATGTCTACCTGTGTGATAATTCAAAGACCAACATTAGTTTGCTTCATTCTCCAGTACTAAAGTAGTAATGTCTGTTATGATCCACTAAGTCCTTCAATTATATTAATTACCTATAATATGCCAAGGTCTGTACTGAGTTTAAGGAATAAAATGAAGGTTTTTGGTAGTTATTGTTTTTGAGTTTAGTTTAAAAACACAATTCAACCTTACAGTAAAGATTCTACTCTAAGACAAGTCAAATCTGATTTGAATTAGGAAAGTACCTTTGCCCTCCAAGAATGGGAGCTAGCTGCCCACTTTGCTTCCCCAGTGCCATGCTGTTTTAGCTGAGTGCCCTCCGAGAGGAAAAGGACAATCAGAAACTCAATCTGAGAGCCAACTCTGTAAGAAGGGAAAGGCCAATGACCAACATTTAATTATGGAGAGGCATGGGCCTATAAATAGAAATGCTGGCAACCAAAATGATGTTTTCCCATTAAAAATGTTCTCAAAGTGAGAGTCGTTTCTAAGACAGGATGCCTAACTTTTGAAAGAAATGATGGACTTAACTTAAGAGAGACTTTACAGAAAGATAACTCTGCTGGGCATTCATAGGTACAGATTCTTTTCATTAACTATTTGAACCTAGAAACCAGAACTCCATTATGTATCTAAATAAAGTATTTCTATATGGTCTGGACACAACTTCCAGAAATACAACTATTGCAAATTGAAGAAAATTATAGTTTTGTTTGCTTAGACGCTTAATCAACTACCTTGGGGGAAAAATTACATTGCCTATGTTCAGTATTTTTCAAAGTGTGGTCTCCAGACCACAGGCCAGCATCAGTTAGAACTTGTTAAAATGCAAATTTTCAGGCCTATCTTACATCTATTGAATCCTGGGGGGATAAGGCCCAACCATCTGGTTTAATCAGCTCACTAGATGATCCTGATGTTCACTGAGGTCTGAGTTCCAATAATACTACCAATGTGACTACTGGAACTTGAGGCCCCTTAACACATCTGTACTGGTTTGCTGATTCATGTAGTTGGCCAATTCATTCTGTTCTCTACTGCTATTGTGCACACAGCCACATATCAAAATAGCATTTCATTTATAAATTACCTTTTTACTTTTTCCTTGTAGTCCATTAAATCAATTTTTTTTAAAAATTATGCAGGACATTATAGATATATTATCTATGAATTTCAATTCAAGATAGTAAAACAAAATATTTGTTATAAAAGGGAACACTAGAAAGAGAATTTAAAGGAGGAGTTCATTCATTCACAATGAAAACATTGATAATTTATTCCAGACAAATCTGGTGGTTGCAGGCATTTTAATCAGTCATTTGTTCAAGTACACATTTGTTATTATTATATATACCAAGGACAAGGGAAGAAAGCAGAGCGTTGGAAACAGCCTGTGAACTGTGCAGCCACTGAGGTGGCCCAAACCAAAAGAACACATTCCTCAAAACCACCAGCCTGGAGAATCTACTCTGCATTTGTTCACATCGCAACGTGACATAGTGCTATCTACATTTCAGGTGTATGGCACATTCACAGAACAAACTGACAGTTCCTCAAAAAATTAAGCATAATTAGCCAGGCGAGGTGATGCACGCCTGTAATCCCAGCACTCAGGAGGCTGAGGCAGGAGGATCACTGCGAGTTCAAGATCAGCCTGGGCTACACAGTGAGTTCCAGAGCAGTCCGAACTACATAGTGAGACCCTGTCTAAAAAAAAAAAAAAAAAAAGCATAATTAAACCATGCAATGAAGCAGTTCTGCCACTAGATATACACATAAGAGAAATGAAAACAGGCCTGCACACAGAAATATGTACACAAACATTCAAGTCAGCACTGCTCAGTACTGCCAAAAGCTGAAAGAAAGCAAATGTCCACCAACTGACCGATGAGTGGATGAAACATGACACCTATAGGGGATTACTGCTGGGCCATAAAAAGATGAAATACTTGTATGTGCCACAGCATAGATGGGCCTAGAAAACATTATGCTAAGTGAAAAAGGCTGGACACAAAAGGCCACATATATCAAGTGTCCAAAACAGGCGAGCCTATAGAGACAGAAAGCACATTAGTAGCTGCCAGAGGCTCAGGATAGGGGAAAATGGAAGTGACTACTAAAGTGGGTATATGATTTCTTCCTGAGATGGCAAAAATGTTCTAGTTAGATAGTTGTGATGGTCGCACAATCTTATTAATCAACTAAAAACCACTGAATTGTAGCTTTAAAAGGAGAGATATTATAGCATGTGGACTTTATTTCAACAAAAATTAAAATGATGGCAAACAAAAACAACAAAAAAAAAAATACCAAAAGAAGTCTTAACTCTAGGAGAAGCCCTCTACTGGATAAACAAATAAAAACTCAAGGTCAGAATTCTACCTTAATGCCATAAATCTACAAACATGTTGAAGCCATAGATTCTAATTACAAGCTGACTCCTTGTGAATGAGAACCACCTCTGTGTAGTGGGGAGTGGGGTTAAACCTTACCTGTAGGAACAAATAAGGTATGTCCCTGCTTTACCACACATTTGTAGCATTTATCCACTTTATCTCCAAAGAATACCTCACTCTGGGTCACAGATGAACTCCAAGATTCATAGAGTGCCAAATTTTCATTTGTTGGCTTTATCAAATAAAAAATCTTCTCACCCTAAAAGGAAGTAATCATACTATCTTTGAAAAACCAAAAGCCATTCCTTCAATGGCCTACATTGATAAAATTTCCCGATACAATGGCCTAAATTAAATAATTAGCAAGATTTTTTAGGTTCAAAAAGACCTATTTCACATTCCTAATTAATAGCCAATTCCCTTAATCAGCATTTCACAGGTGATAAAGCTTTTTCCACCCCCAGTTGACAAGGAGTCAGTAATCAAGTCAAAGAAATTAGTGCTGATGAGCCAGGTAGGAAACCACAAATACCTCCACAAGGGTCTCTCATTGTTAAGGTGTCCAACTAAACACATGTTAAAAGGCCTGGTCACAGCACAGAGTCATCTCCAAAGATCTATATCTCATAATGACTGTTTCTAAAAACCTGTAAATAAACTTCCTTTAATGAACCAAGTCTTTTTTGTCTTCCAGGGGGAAAGGAGCAGGAGAGTCAAGGACTCGGCATCCAATGCAGCCCAGATTTGATGTGGTTCTGGATCAGCATCCTCCAACAGGACTTCTGTGAGGGGTACATTTCTCTTTCTGTGCTAGCAGCAGTCACTAGCAGAGTGTGGCTAAGCTCTTAAAAGTCACAAATGAAAATGAGGAACTGAATTTTTCAAAGTATACTGAATTTTAATTATTTAAATTTAGCCACACATGGCTAACATATTAAGCAGTATGTTTCTAGATAAAGCAAAGTGAATATATGTGAACCTCAAATAACTAGCATTTTTATAGGCATTTATGACTTACCCAGCTAGTTATCTTGCCCTATCCTTAAAGCCAGAAGCAATTATTAATTACTTTGCTCCTTCTTAGGTATTTGGTTCAGGGATTAATGGATAATGAGCTAGGGGGATGGGGAAAGAAAAAGACATAAGGCTAACAGAAACCAATTTAAAAGATGGAGGCAAAATAGGAATCTAAATATAAAGAACTCATAAAGATGCAATAAGTATATGTACCAATGCCTCATGATGAATGTATTTACATGTCACAAATATATACTAAAAATCATTTTTAAAAAAGAAAGATCTCATGCCTTTCTATTACTTTGGATTTTTAAAAATTGTAACTGTTTTTTTTTTGTTTTGTTTTGGTTTGGTTTGGTTTTTTTGAGACAGGGTCTCACTATGTAGTTGAGACGGACCTTGAACTCACTATGTTGCCCAGGCTGGTCTCGAACTCACAGCAATCCTCCTGCCTCAGCCTCCCGAGTGCTGGGATTACAGGCATGTGCCACCACGCCCGGCTAAAAATTATAACTGTTAAAGACAAAGTGATAGATCCTACCAAAAAGTAGAAAAACTTCCCTCTCTCCAAATATCATTTGTAGCAAATGAATACCACTTGAAAAATATAACTATGTGTTTTTGTAAATAAGAGAAGAAACACCCTAGTCTTACCCAGAGGACGTGGTACCAGACTGACGTTCCACCGAAGTCAATATGGAAATCTGTGTAGCTGTCTTGAACACCCATTAAGCAGTATTTTTGAACAAATGGCTTGGGAAAGACTGAATCATCTGGCCAATAGTTTTCCACCCAGGAAAGTTTTCTGGCTATATCAGGGACCTCCACCAACTCAGACATTCTTTTAAAAGAAAACAAATGTGTATACACATTCACATAATGCAAATTAAGACTTCTTCAAACTGTTTCTCCTACATCCACACAAATCAAGTAAATAACCAGGACTCAAGATTAACAATAACTCTTAAAAGTTTAAAACACATATTATTTCCAAATATTCTCTAAGTGTACCAAGCAAAATTCACAACACTGCTACCAGTGGACAACTCAGAAGTTCCAATTATGCTTCTTACTAAAATAAATAATACATCACTGAGCTACATGTAGTTAATGTTCAGAATGCTCAAAACAAAATATCCAGAACTACTCACTTTGTATCTGAAAATTCAAGGCTGATCACATTTAACACTTTTGGTCTGTTAGGATTCATGAAGTATTTAACATAATTGTGAAGTGTCATCTTGCTGTCTGCCTGCCTTGCCACATCAATGACGTCTATCACTTTGTCACCACCTATAGAGAAAAATCATAGTCTTATTACTGGGTTTACAAGTTCATCAATAGATATGCTAAACAAAAATATTTGAAACAATGTATTTGCTTGGTATCATAACTAAATCAACTATGAAAATACATAGTCATGAGCCAGGGATTTAGCTCAGGGGTTCCACCACCTGCCTTGCAATCACAAGGACAGGAGTTCAATCCCCAGTACCAAAAAAATAAAATAAAATAAAACATAGCCAAGACAAATCTTTGTATTTTTACTTTTTAAGTCCCATTGGATCTTTTGAAAATAAGGAACAATTCTCAAGGGAAAAACAGACCTACAGAACAGTATAAAAAAGTACATGGCTGCAAAGCTTTCTATTGACAATTTCTTGCATACAACTCACAATGACAAAAAATAATACAGGGAGGTGACATTTTCTGACATTTTATGGGTTTCCATTTCCTCATGCATAAAATGAGAGGATTAATTTTTCCTCTTAACTTCTATAATATCTAAGATCCTGAGTTTATTGTTTTGAAAAACAAATCACCCATTGAAAAACGAGTCAGCAAGTTGGCCAGGATAACCACTTTCTGGTAATACCTTTTTTTAAACTATTCTCCTTCATTGAAAAAGGCTGGAGATGTACTCAGTGGTAGACTGCGTGCCTAGCAAGTGAAGGATGTTGGTTCAATCCTCAGTACCACAAGAACAAAAAGAAAAAGAGGGAGGGAAGAAGAGATGGCGAAAGGGGATTAGTGGTTCAGCGGCAAAAGAATCAGCTCATATTAGTGCCTATTTTTTTTTCAATACCAGGGATCAAACTCAGGACCTTGCGCAGGCATGGTACCACTGAGCTAAATCCTTGGCCCTATTAGTGCGTATCTAAATGCCCAAGTTCTAAGTTGTGATTAATTCAGTTTTCCTATAAAACCATAAGCTGATGAGCATCATAATGCCACTCTAGGAAGCATAATCAGTTTTACAATGGACTACAGAATAGGGGAGAATTTGCCAGGTGTTGTGTCACACACCTGTGATCCCAGCACTGAGACTGAGACGGGAGGACTGCTGTGAGTTCAAGGCCAGCCTTGACTACACAGTGAGACCCTGTCTCAAACAAACAAACAAACAAAAGATTGGGAGGAATTCAAAGTATGGCAATACTTAACCAATCTGAAATAGAGAACAAATAAATATCATTTTCTCATGTAACTTCACATAGTTTAATAACAATATCTCGTATATTTATCTTCAGGATATAATAATTCCGTTACTAATAATTAACTGGAGAAGCTAAAACACTGTCAAGCACTTTGAACATTTTATTCTATACTTACATTACCCAAGCCATTTATTTCACAATGCTTATCTATGCAAATAGGTCTAGGTTACATCTCAGGGTTACTCCCTGATTTATCACAAATTTAGCTGAATGTGAAGTCAGGATATTTAATTGTTTTCCACAATAAAATAATTATCAGTGAAACCTGTCAACCAATAGCTCAATAAAAGGACAAATTCTTTGACATTCCATGCTGAGGAGATAATGTAATAAACATATAATTTTGAGAAAATGTGTATTTGAAATCTAATCTCAAATAATATCTATTGTTGAAAAACATGGACATCTACATATAGTCAACATTATAAATATCATTATGAGAATAAATGAAATGACTGAAAACGTCAACAGTTTGGCAATCAATAAAGGACTTTCCCCCTTGTTTCTTAATTATTTTTGGGGCCTCAAAATTAAAAGTTAAGTCCACATGTCATTAAATGGCAACAGTCACTGAGTCATTAATATAAGAACAGCTCAGTGGTGCCACTGCCTGCTCGCAAGCACAAGGTCCCAAGTTCAATCCCTAACACCCCCCAAAACAAAACAAAAAAATGGGTTGAACAGAATCTCCTCTTCTTGCAGCCCTCCCTCTCAGCAACAGCCACAACATGGTGCAAAGGACTTGTACAGTAGGCTCCAGGAACTCTGCACCAGGTTCCTGCAGGTGCCTAAAGGCAGCCCAGCTCCCCGAGTCTTCTTGGCTCTGCAGCTGCCCCTCGGTGTGCATTTTCCTCAAGCAAGTATAGTGTCAGATTCAATGACAGCAATGACAGCAGCAGGATGAGGCCAAACAAGTCAGAATGGGCAAACACTGGTTTTTCTGATGTAGGATGTCTTCTGCTAAGAAAGCAGCTTTCAACAGTATGATGCTGAGTCTCACTTTCATTGACCCAGGTAATGTGACTAAACTGAAATTTCTTCATTCAGTTTTAAGATTTGGTCTCACTTTTACTTTTACCATAATTTCCCAAGAACTTAAAGAAGCTAAGTTCGTACCTACATAATGTTCCACATCCATCACAGAAAAAGCAGGAGGAGGGAGCCTGAGTCCTAGGTCATCTAATTTAGGGACCATGATAGGAGCATCAAATCCGTGTTTCTCCAGGTATCTTTGTGTAAGCTGGCTGCCATGCATTTTCACAATGATTTCATCGGCACTAAAAATGTAAAAGTAAGATGTTACTTTTGTTAGTAAGTTCAGTTTAAAAACAGTAACTGTGATAGGAGTTAACATTCATACTGCTTAGTTAGCTATATCACTTCTCACCTATCTAATTCTTTTAATAACAAATATTTTGCAAAGCCCTTTTTGCCATTCTGTATATAGTCTTTAATTCAATACACTGTAATTGGAAAATATATATAATGCTCTAAGCATAAAAAAGAGCAACAAACTAGTTTAGAGCAAAATATATATTTCCATATGTAAATGTTCAGGTAAACTATACTTGACACATAATAAAATAACAATATTTTTAAAATTAGTTGTAACGAGGGGTTGAATTTGAGAAAAGTAAAAACAAAAACAACAACAATAAAAAAAAAAAAAACACCAGAAGTTACTCAATGCAAGCTATGTAGAAAATCAGAAGAGCAGACAGGCAGGGTATGTTATCACAATAAACATCAGTGTAGGATAAGTAAAACACAGACCAGATTTTACCTGACTATAAAGTTCTGTGCAAATATTTATCAGGCATTTCAAAATCTAATGGAACACAGAACAATGAATTATTCTCCATATATATTTTCTAATTACAGGAGGGTGACTAGTACCCATGGTCCCTGCCCACTGAGACAAGTGTCCCTAATGCCCCCATTGAAGACTATTGACTTAAGTGATCTGTTTCAATTAATATTTGTAAGTCTTTAATAGTAGGTAAGACTTGACTAAAAATTGTTGGGCTTCAGGCTGCCCTCCCTGATACAGATATTATACTTCAGTGTGACTTGTCCCTTGTTACTGCCCTCTACCATAAATCCAAAGAAATTCATTATGCAGCCTCTATGCATTCAAAATTAAGTGTACAACTTGCCTTAATGGTTAAAATATAGCAGTTCTACTTATCTACTCAGATCCTGGCCATTTGATGTCACCAACAAACTAAGTGGTCAGGACAAAAAAGAGAGAAAAAAGAGATGCTGATACTCTGCATTACCAGGCTCTGATCTTCCCAGTCTCAATAAGGCAAGGGCACACAGGCCTCAGAAAACTGAGACAGCCTTCTCCGAGATAGTCCTTTTGGTGGGAAGAGGGCTGGGGATGGAACCCAGGATTTTTGCACTGAGCTACATCCCCAGCCCCCCTTTTTTATTTATTGATTGATTGATTGGTACTGGGGATCAAACTCAAGATCTTGTGCTTGTGAGGCAGGCAGCGGAACCATTGAGCTAAATCCCCAGCCCTCTGTTTTTTTTATTTTAAGACAGGGTCTCTAAGTCACTCAGTTGCCCAAGGTAGGCTCATATTTGGGGTCCTCCCACCTCAGCCTCCTGGAGTGCTGCAATTACAGGCAGGTGCCCCTCACACGAACCCAGCTTAGACAGTCTTATAAATGGATGGCTTAGGTCTTCTTCATCTAACTCATCTACTGAACTTGACTTCTGTCCTGGCTTTTAGTTTACCAATAAGCATCCCCAATTTCCCCTTTCCCCTGCTCTCTGAAGATTAAGTAATTCCTTAAACTTCAATCTAAGAGAGAATTTATCATCTGTACTCCCAATCTCAAACGTTAGTAGTACTTTACTTCCCCCGTTGATCAACAAATAGACACAAGCCCTTAAAATATAGGTACATGATGAAAGAGGAAACAATTAAATATACATAAGGAGATATTAAACCAATATGTATTGCATATTACACAACAGTTTGGGAGTCAGGTGTGTGTTTATACATCTATATCTATTTATATATTTATAGTATCTATATATTTATAAATACCTATATATAGATATATAAATATATGTATATAAATATATAGAGAGATACAGATATATGGAAGGATACCTAAGTAAAAAAGGCAAATTGCATAACACTATGCCTAATTTCATTTTATTTTTAAAATTATATACATACATATGCATATATACACACAAATGTTTTAAATATTTCTATAGAAATGGGTCTCAAAAGACATTAAGTCTTAAAATAGGAGATGGAAGCAAATCTATCCATTTTTATACATGTCTATGTTAATTCTATCAGCATGCATAATTTAGTAGTTATTGCTATTTTACCGTGGCTTTACATGACCCAAAGGCTTATGGAGTTAAACAAAATAAAACCAAGACCTTTAATTAATATAACTACAGTTTAGACATCTGTGACCATTTCTTCTCATTTGCGTTCACTTAGGCAGAACAGTCACATGAATTACTAGACCAAAGCTTTTAATACTACTTTCTGGGGGTTCACAAATCTATCTGAAAAAAGTAAAAACCATGGCCTCTCTCCCTGAGAAGAGTATGCTCACACAGCACACTACATTGTATGCAATGTTTGAGGGTAATCCCAAACCTGCCCAGGTCCCCAAACAGACCCAGACTACAAGTTCCATGCCACTCAAGCACCGTCTAATAACAGGGAAAGCAAGCAAACACTTCTTCTATGACTTCAAAATTGATAAAAGATAATATATGAGAACAAGGGCTTTAACACAACAAAAATCACATGCAAACACTGTGTTTATTCTGTACACGCTTTCTTTCTGTTTCTCTGCAGCCTTGAGGGAGCCAACAAGGATGTTTATGGATGTTTCTGTTTAAGGATTAAGGGACAGGAGGACAGACAAAAAACCTAGATTGAGAAAAAAAGAGTAGGTTGTTTTTTTTCTTCCAAAATCTGAAAAACATTCCATAATAGGCCACATAAGATACTGCAGTTTAAATTTAAATTGTACGTCCCCTCTTTATCAAGCCTGAATATGATCTGGGATAAAAGCCTATTAAGTATTTTCACTTTAAATAGATGTCAGGCACTGAGTAGGAAATGATCTAAATTAGCATGATTAAATGCCTTATAACGTTTTTGACTTTGAGCCACAGACAAATGAAATATATTCTATTCTTTTTAAAAATCAAAAAGCTCAGCCTTGCTGCCATCAATAGCTAAGCGAATGTTGTGGGTACTTCTGGTAGATCGAGGACATAGACAGATAATGAAAACAATGTGGAGAAAAAAGCAGCTCCAAAGACAGGATGAGATTAAAGAAAAAGCAGCAGCAGTTACTTATCAGAAGGAGCCAAGCACTGGGAACAACTGCTTCACATCAGCATATCAAAGTTTTCGGATTGTGACCCATAACTAAGAATTACATATTTACATGGCAGCCACTATGTATACACATACAGCAAACTTCCAAGAAATAACGTTTACTCCTTTTATTTGCAATATATAGATATTTTCTTCTCTATTTCAATACAGAAAAAAGTAAAAAGCCAGTTGAGAACAATAATGTGCTGCAGCCTGAATATTTAAAATATTGCTTTGGATAATGTTGCTTCATCAGCCAACATCCTTAAATTGTTTGGTCACAAGAGTTTCCATACCTTGGGAAGACTCGAGCACGTAACTCTTTGACGAAAGTCCTGGTTCCAGCTTGTACTGGTTTGGAACCATCATCAATTTCTGTGTAGTCGTGCCTGTGCCAATTCCTCCTCTTTTTCACTATGTTTTTAGAAGGTTAAAAAAAAGAAAACATTCTTGGTAACTGGTGGTACTGTGTCATTCATTCATTTGTGCTGAGGACTGAACCCCAGGCTTTGCACATGCTACGCAACCATTCTGTCTCTGAGCTATAGTCAGAGCCCTCTTTATTTATTTGATTGATTGATTGATTGATTGATTTTGGAGACTAGACTGCCCAAGCTGACCAGGAACTTGTGATCCTCTTACCTCAGCCTCCTGGGCAGCAGGAGCTGCTGGCATGTCACCTCACCTAGCTCAACATAATGTACTTCCTGGTCACACTCAAGTTTTTAATGCATTTCCAGGCCACAGAAGTAAATTTATTTAATTACTGCTGCAATTATAGACAGTTAACTGTAGGTTTAGAACCTATTCTTTTTATTTCAAAATAATTTTAAAATTAAATAATTCATATCAAGAAATGAAGTATGTTATAATATCCTTATTTACCCACACCATAACATTTCCAAATTTTTTAAAACTATGATTTTCATGAGAAACCTAGGTTGTGATATGATTACCCAAATCATCCAAATTATCCAAATTATTCTCAAGATAGGGCCTTTTATCCCACATCAGAAATCTACTTTAGCCAGGTGTGGTGGCGCATGCCTGTAATCCCAGCACTCGGGAGGCTGAGGCAGGAGGATCCCTGTGAGTTTGAGACCAGCCTGGGCTACATAGTGTTCCAGGTAATCCTGTAATCCCAGCACTCGGGAGGCTGAGGCAGGAGGATCCCTGTGAGTTTGAGACCAGCCTGGGCTACATAGTGAGTTCCAGGTAAGTCTCAACTACATAGTGAGACCCTGTCTCAAAAAAACAAAAAAACAAAAACAAACAAACAAACAAACAAAAAAACTACTTTAACACCACAATTCCTTTCTCTTTTACATGAAGATTTACTTCCAGAACAAGTATAGTAAATTTATACTGACATGAACACCTTACTGATGGCTAATATGACAAATAAAACTTTATGGGGGAATCAAAGTGCGGGTCCTTGGTCCCACAGCTCTGGGAGGTTCTGATCATAGGAGTAATGATCAAACTCAGGAGACTGACACTGATTCCTAGTTCATCCACTCACTTTCTTGCAGCCTTGGGCTGGACACTAATGCCTCTGGGTCTGGATTCCCTCACTTGGAGCAGAAGTGGGTCAGGGACAGTGTCAATCCACAAACTGTGTGAGGCACCTGACAAAGATGGAGAGGCAGAAAAGGCCAAGGAGGAGCAAGTACTACTGCACATAGCTCTTCTGTGCAGTATCACTGTGAGATTTTTGTGTAAGCTTGAAAATCACTCTTAAGCCATCCATGATTGTGGATAATGTACTGATATCTGCAACTTACTCACAAATGCATCAAACTATATGGTAAGATATAAAAAGTAGTAGGAATTACATGGAAAGATAAGTGGTAAAAGTTAACAAAAATGTTAGGGTGAAGGTTTGTTTATAGATAGTTGCTGTAAAATTACTTCAGCTTTTCCTATACTTTTAAAAATTTTCATAACAAAATGTTAGGAGGGAAACAACTCCAATTCCAAGTTACAATTATTTACTTATTTATGAATGAGGCAGGGACTCTTTATGTAGTTCAGGCTGGCCTTAAACTCTTCGGCAATTCTCCTGCCTCAGCCTTCTGACTACAGGGATTAATATACATGCACTACCACACCTGACTTCCAAGTTATTTTAAACCTTTACCTAACCAAGATCATGATAATATAATTAATACTGGATCCTCAGATGGATATAAGGAGTGTCATATTAAATAATCATTAGGAGTGGAAATTAGGCTTATTCAGATATAACCATCTAAATATGAGTACCAAGTAACTTACTGCAGCCAGGTCTCCAATATGAAAGAGAATAATTCCCTTTTGTTTTTAATCTCATGAGAAAAATTTAGAATCACAGAGAAACCTTCTTAGAAAATTCCAGCAAGGCAGCCTTTACATGTTACTTTTTTCTCACTTAAAACCACTCCTAGAATTCAAGGGCATTTCAGACCAGGTTTTTTTTTTCTAGTGGTAAGTATCCCCACCTGTTATTCCAGGTCTTTTTCTATGCACAGATAAGATAGCTCCATTTTATTTTCAACTAGGATCACAGTATTTATTCTGCTTACCTTTCTTATCTTGAGCATTTTATCTTCATCAAATATTCAAAAGCAATTTAAAGGAAGCCTAGAATTTTAAAATGTAGATGCACCATTTTATAACTGGGTTTTTAAAGCACTTAGTTCATTCTGAAACTTAGTCAAACAATGCTGTGATTAATATTAATACAGATTAACCTGATCCCTAATGAACTCCTCAGGATAAATTTCTAGAAACACTAGAAAAAAGATTACTATTTTTAAGTAGTTGCTGCACAATGCAAAGCTGCATCCAGGTAAGGGGTAGTAATTGCCTAGCAGATAGCCAGTGCCCAATCTTCTGCTCTTTCTTCAAGGATGACAAGCAGCAGAAGGACCACACAAAAGCCCAGTTTCCCTCAGAAGCACCATTATTCAAAGTGCAGATTGCAATCCATTATGGACTATGTAATCAATTTAGTGAGTATGACAAGTTTTTTAAAAGATGAAATCATCCAGGGGAAATAGAAAATAAAGTACATCACAAATAGTAAAATACATTTTCCTGCCTCTTAGTAACTCAGTATTTCATACATTTAAATTTAAATTCAAATTATTTATTTTTACGATTAAGTATCCGAATTTTAAACTAAAACCATTATAAATTTCAACTCTGCTTCGAGATAACAACATTGAATTATTTTTCTTCAAGAATTATTCTTGATTAGAAATTATTTCAAGTTATATACCACATATTTCAGTGCTACTCAGAGGAAGATTCTTTAAAAACACTTACAATATTAAACTAGTCAGTAATACGTGCAACAATTCTACCAGATGGTTAACCCTAAGGTTTATACTGTGTAGCTAACAAGACAGACACCCTGTGTACTTCATAAGAAAATTTTTTTTTTTTCTTTTTTTTTGGTACCAGGGATCAAACTCAGTCCTTGCACTTGCAAGGTAGCAGCACCACTGAACTAAATCCCTGCCTCCCCTCCTTTTTTTTTTATTTTTATTGAGTTTATTGGTACATTCTAGATATACAATACAGTCACATTCATTACTGGGATCTTGGACCCTTACATGACAGGTCTTGGTTCTCATTTTTTCCTTGTCCCTGCTCATTTTTTTTTTTTTAAGGAAATATTCTGACACATTCATTCAGCTTAGATTTCCTGGAAACCTTAGCAGAAAAGTTTCAAGCAGACAGGATCAGGCAGTACTCCAAGACATACTCAAAATAACCAAATTTAGAAAATATGAGTGATAGCTTATCAATTCCCTAATTTTCTCCTAAAATATAATGCATGTGTACATTAACATCTACATCTGTACACTGTCCCAAAATATTACTGAAAGATCTTTTGTGAAGAGATAAAATCAATGTAAGTATTCAGAATCAGAAAAATTTTACTTTACCATGCTTCCCAAGAATAAAAACTTTAAATATATGTACTACTTAAATTTAGACCTCTATACTGGTAATTTAAAATGCTAATATTTCTTCCTTTATTCTTTTGACTTATTTAATAAAAGTTACTAATCCAGACAAAAATTGCATTCTAAATATCTTTAGTGAAATCTTCCTTACAGTCCTTGGTGGATCTAATACAGCTGGAGTATTATTAAAGTATTATTATATCATGGTAAGTTCAAAACGTTAACTTCTATTTAGGCATCCAGTACTTACTCAAGGAGGAGCCATGTAGAAGAGCACAGTTGGGACAGTGATACAGGTCAATGTCAACAGCATGGTGTTCTTCTACTCCAACACAGCTAAAATAGAGAAAGATACATTAGTATATAAACAAGTTGACAGCCGGATGTAGTGGCGCAGGCCTGTGGTCCCAGCACTTGGGAGGCTGAGGCAGAAGGACTGTCATGAGTTTGAGGCCAACCTAAGCTACACAGTAAGTTTGACCATCCTGGACTATATGGCAGGATCCTGTCTCAAAAACCAAAGTAGGGCCAGGGATTTAGCTCAGTGGTTCTGCCACCTGTCTCACAAGGGCAAGGACCTAAGTTCAATCCCCAGTACCAAAAAAAAAAAAACCCAAAGTAAAAAATAAAGAGCAGAATAAGTCATATTCTCAAGCTATAATTTTGTATCATAACATAGTGTTTGAGGTCAAGTATAAACAAGTTGACAGTCACTATATATAATACAATGCTTGGAACTGAGCTGAGAATGTACAAGAAACTCACTGGCAAATTTTGTACAGCCCAGAAATATGTACAAGGATAAACTTTATTCTCTTCTGCACACAACTACTAAATAACTGTGGGGGAGAATGTATCCAAATATATGATATGTGAGTCACTCCCAGCAATAATGGAGACATCAGGAAACAATGCAATTATAAGCCATAAAATCCTTGACCTTACGTGAATGCCATTGTTGGGGAATTAATGTCAATAAGATATAAATCCAAAGTCATACTGAAAATCTGAAAATTATTTTAAGCCGAACAACAATAAAAATACTATATACTATCTTTAGGATGCATAATCTACAAACAGAAATGTATATCCTCGAATGTGTTAGGGGGAAAAAAGGCTGAAATTGCTGAGTTAATCATATGCTCTAAAAAATGACCAAAAAGTAAACCTTAGCAACAGAAGCAAGGAAAAAGAGATGTATAACATAGAAAATGTGTAACAGCATCAAAACCAAAAATTTATTATTTGAAAAGATGTACAAACTTGGAAAACCTTATCCAATATCAATAACCAATACCAGGAATGAAAACAAGATGAAACAACTGATTCTACAAAATGGAGTATAAAAGAGAGTGTTTATGCTGGAATGGAAAACTCCAGGCCCAGATGACCTCAGAAACAAGTTGTATGAACTATTCAAAGAATAATTTTAATATTATATAAAATTTGACCCAAAGGGTAGGAAAAGAATTTATTCCCTAACTTATTTTATGACAGTATAACCTTGATACCAACATTTGGAAAGGATGAGCCAAAGTTGCTCTCACTTAGCAGCAAAGATGCAAATATCAAGCTGGCTCACCATCAGGAATGCAAGGTGGCCTGTAACACTAAAAATGCTAATCAGTGAAATGAGCTACATTAACAGATTCCAAGAAAAAAAATCATGTTATCATTGAAAAAGATTCAGGGCAAGTATTTGGTAAAAAGTCAATATTTACTTCAGTTACAAAGCAAACAAACAGGGCTGGGGATTTAGCTCCGAGGTTTCACCACCTGCCTCGCAAGTGGCAAGATCCTGTGTTCGATCCCCAGCACCCAAAAGGAAAAAAAAGCAAACAAACAACAAACCCCGGCTGGGCATGGTGGAGCATGCCGAAAAAGATTCAGGGCAAGTATTTGGTAAAAAGTCAATATTTACTTCAGTTACAAAGCAAACAAACAGGGCTGGGGATTTAGCTCCGAGGTTTCACCACCTGCCTCGCAAGTGGCAAGATCCTGTGTTCGATCCCCAGCACCCAAAAGGAAAAAAAAGCAAACAAACAACAAACCCCGGCTGGGCATGGTGGAGCATGCCTGTGATCCCAGCACTCAGGAGGCTGAGGCAGGAGAATCACTGTGAGTTCAAGACCAGCCTGGGCTACATAGTGAGTTCCAGGTCAGTCTGAACTACATAGAGACCCTGTTTGGAGCATGCCTGTGATCCCAGCACTCAGGAGGCTGAGGCAGGAGAATCACTGTGAGTTCAAGACCAGCCTGGGCTACATAGTGAGTTCCAGGTCAGTCTGAACTACATAGTGAGACCCTGTCTCAAAAAAACCAAAACCAAAACAAAACAAAAAAAACTTAGTTTTTAATTAAGAGTAGAGGATACTTCCAGAATCTAAAAAAAGGATACTTCTTTTTTTGGTATGGGGGATTGAACGTGGGACCTTGAGCTTTCGAGGCAGGCGGTAAAACCACTGAGCTCAATCTCCAGCCCTAATAAAGAATACTTCTAAAAAGAGTCTACACAAACATGAAAGCAGTCACTTTCAGAGTAAGAACATAACAAAAATACCTGTTATCACCACTTCTGATAAGCACTATGCCAGCGTATCAAGCTGGTATTGTAAAATAAGAAAAATAATTAAAAGATATAGGGATTGGAAAGGTAAAAAAAAATCTGTCATTTACAAAGGCAGCAGTTATATAGACAAAAAACGTATTTATTGAAAACTATAAGAACAAAAAAAGATTGCTATATACAGAATACTCTTAGTATATTAAAAAGTAATCATATTTCCACACACCAACACTTCCATGTAGCAACAATATAAAGCTTAAAATGAAATTTTAAAAAATGTACAACTGCATTTTTAAAAAATCAAGTTGTTGGCGTGGAAGCGCACGCCTATGATCCCAGAATTCAGGAGGCCGAGGCAGGAGGATCATAGGAGGTCAAGGCCAGCCTGAGCTATTATATAGTGAGACCCTGTCTCAAAAAGAAAAAAAAATGTGAAGTTATATTAGATAAATTTAACAAAAAAACTATGCAAGACTTTTGTAAGGAAAATTATGAAAACATTACTGGGATACTTTAAGAAACATTTAAATAAAAGGGAGATTTACATCATAAAGATGGACATAAAGTTCAATAATGTAAAAATATAAATTCTTCTCAAAGTGATTTATAGGTTTAATATAATCCCAATCAAAATCTGTGGAACCTGACAAAGCCAATTCTAAAGTTGATGTGGAACTGTAAAGGGCAAATAATATGAAGGTAGGCAGGTATTCCCAGAAGGGGGAACCCTCTAGTAGGTATCAAGATTTATTTTCAAGCTACCAGAATCAAGGTAATTCAGAACAGATGGCAAGGCCCCCAAACAGATCCACCAACATTGAACACTTATATGTAATGCAGGAGGCACTTCAATAAAAGGTTCTGAGAAACATTTTCTACATCTGTAGAGGAAACAGAATAAAATTCTACCTATCCTACCCCATAACATAAAAATTTATTCCAAAATAGATTGTAAATCTAAACACAAACCAAAGAGGAAAGTACAAAGGCTTATATCATAATATAAAAAAACTTTACTTTCTGGAAGTTTTTTTGTTTTTTTGTTTTGGGTACCAGGAATCAAACTCAGACCCTTGTGCTTGCAAGACGGGGCAGAACCATTGAGCTAGATCCCCAGCCCTCTGGCAGTTATCTTAATCAAAATACAAAACAAAAACAAAAGAACACTGACCATAAGGGGGAAAATCTGGTAACTTCAACCACACTAAAATAACTTCTCTTTACTAAAGAATGAAATAAGCCAGAGTAGAAGACATTAAAATACAAATAATCACCAAAGACATTACACTCAGAATATAATGAATTGGGGGGGGCACCAGCACTCAATAAGAAAAACAGATTAAGGACTTGAATAGGTACATCATAACAGGAAATCCAAGCGGCTATACAAACATGAGAAGTATGCAACCTCTCAACTAGGAGAAATATAAAGTAAAACTACAACATATAAGATTAAAACAAAAAAATAGATTAAAATGTCCGATGATACAAAAGGTTGATGATGATAAGCAATAGGAACTTTTATATAGTGATACTGGCGGGACTATAATTTGGCACAGTCATTTTGGAAAACAATTTTGTATCCTAAGTAAAGAATAATGTATTTTTATGACCAATCAATTATTTTAGGTAAATGTACCTTAAATAAACTCATGCACATGTGCATCAGGACACCTACATATACAGAGAGTCTTTATATCTAATATTTTACCAACAGTAAAAATCAATAAATTATAGTACAGTCCCATAATAGAATTCTATATGGCAATGTATAGAAAATGTAAGAACTATTGTCTTGTGCAATAACTAAATGAATTCTATAAATTAATATATGTTGAGTGTTTTTTGGCAGGGACCGAACTCAGGTCCTTGTGCTCACAAGGCAGGCAACAGAACCACTGAGCTAAATTCCCAGCCCTAAGTTGAGTGTTTTTAAAAAAGACATAAAAGAATACATACAGTATTACTGTATTTGTACATAAAGTTCAAAAGTAGAGGAAGCTGTTTAGGGTCAATTAAAAAAAGGAAGGGATGGGTCACAACAGCAAGACAGTGGTTTCCTCTTGGAAGTTGTGATCTGGAAAGAATGCTGGGGTTTTGGATCCTGAGTGACTATTATTACAAGAGTTTACATTTTATAATTTTCAGGTAACTGTACATTTATGTCTTAGACACTTCTTCACTGTAATTTCATAATTAAAACATAGTAAGGGTAAAATCTTATCTATAACCATGTAAAAAATTAAGCAAACAAGCCGGGTGTGGTGGCACGCGCCTGTAATCCCAGTACTTGGGAGGCTGAGGCAGGAGGATCATCAAAAAAAAAAAAAAAAAAAAAAAAAAAAAAAAAAAAAAAAAAAAAAAAAAAAAAAAAAAAAAAAAAAAAAAAAAAAAAAATAAGCAAACAAAACTCCTAGAGACTGTATTAATTCAGTAACTATAATGACATATCAAGGACCATGAATTTCAGTGATTTCTGGATACCCCAAAACAAGCCTGTTCTTACCTGAGAACTCTAATGAATTTGCTACCATGAGGCCTCGGAATCTGAAGACAATCTAATGTGATCAAGTTCAAAAAGTCAAAACCAACTTTTAAAAAATAACATGGGGCTGAGAATTTAGCTCGGTGGTGGTGCTACTATGCCTGCCTTGTAAGCAACAAGGCCAAGTTCAGCGGGGGAGGGGGGTCCTACATGAATATTGAATGCATGTAACTGAATCAAAAAATTACAATTTGCCTCTGGGTAGAACTGAAATTTACTGTATTTGTTCAACAGAATTGTTAAAAATAAAAAAGTGACTATGCTAATCCTGTTTAAAGTTTGTTTGATGAGGTTGTGGTGCTGAGAATGAACCCAGGGCCTTAGGCATGCTGGACAAGTACTGTACCATTGAGTCACACTCCCACGCCTAGTTATTTTATTTCTATGACCCAAAGAAAAGTTTAATAATCTCTGGATGGAAGACTCACATTTCCTGATTTCAAACTTACTTAGCAAAGCTAGGATAATCAATCAGTGTCGTATTGGCATAAAGAAGAGGCAAAGATATCAATGAAATAGAACTGAGTCCAGAAATAAATCCTTAAATGATGGCCCATAAATTTTCAATCATTCTGTGGGGAAAGGAGTCTTTTCAACAAATGGTACCAAGACAACACACAACAAAGAAATGCAGTTGGATGTCTACATCACAGCAGATACAAAAATGAGTTCAGATGCATCGTATGCTAAAACTACACAACTCTTAAAATAAAGCACAGGAATAAACCTTCATGGCCCTGAACCAATATGGTTTCAACACCAAAAAAACCACAAGGAACAAAAGAGAAAAGAAATGAACTGGACTTCACACTATGGTCTGAAGGCTTGCTTTCTCAGCTTACTTT